TCAACAAAAACGAGTACATTAGTTTTTTCTATATTTTTATCGTGATAACAACTCAGCTGAGGTTCAAAGAATTTATTTGTGGATCTTACTTTCTTAACAGAAGCGACTGTCGAGGATTCTCTCAGTGCTCATGACGACTCTAAGTTTAGCACCTGGGATCGAAAGCATCATCACTGCACTAAAAAAGGAAGGGAGAGTTGGTGGTTCAAAGACTGTTATTTTCTTTCAAATCTAAACGGAGTTTATGGATATAACGGAATTGGAAAGATTCACTGGGGAATTTTAGATCCTAAGGATGCTAACCGCGCTCCAACAACATCAGAAATGAAAATCAGATCGGTGGTATTTTCTAAGAGCTTTCGAAACGAACATTTCGACTCTAAGACTTGGCTCAGACAAATGATCGACCAGAAAGGCAAACGGCATTGGCAAGGAAAGAGGCGGTTGAGCCTTGGACCACAGATAGAAAATTAAAAAAATAGTCGACTTAGACACTTTATTGAGGCGTAAATGAATATCATGCCTTTTATACAAGAGAAGAAAAAGTTGATTTGAAGTAAAAGGCGTAATTTTAGACAAGTCACTAAATGTGGAGCTATTTAATTAGAAGACATGTATTTGGCCATTATAAATGAGATCTCAAATTTTCTAATAAATTGTTTCAACCAATGAGTAACACTTGATCAACGGTCGTCCGGGCTACAGTAATCCTGAGAAGGAATCACTTGACTCTGATGAGGAGTTCCGCCGAGGTTGCCAAAACATGAGTTCTACGTAAAGAGCTTTAACACGACAAATATATCCTTTCAAGAGAATTCTGATACTTAAAAGATCCAGTTGGTATACACATTTTATTTTTGTGGAAAATGGGGTAACACCTAGAACTTTTATCCTATTTTTACCTTTTTTGACTGGCTAGGGATAGAAACTTCGCGCTCCAACACTCTACCAATGAGCCAGAGAGACTGAACGGTAAGCAAGGCCATCACGAGGTCCAATAGGTCTCAATTGTCCTAAGCTCGTGACAAGACGACAAACATCTTACTCCAAACAATTGTTTTCGCATTGGGTAATTTTCGACCTCACGTGTAAAAATCATTATTTGTTGACATCTACAAGCTTGCGTGTCAACCAATGGCGTAAATACCCCTTAACAGTAAAAAAAGGCTCTCTTGGTTGTAGGGCACAATGTGCCAAGAAGTATAAGTGAAATTGTTTAACTTGTCAGATTAAGAAATATTAACTTATATTGCGCTAATATCAATATACGTTTTCAAGAGCGTAGAAACTAAAATGGTACAAAAATCTAACAAAAAAACAACGAAGACAAAAAGAAAAAATCTAATAATGAAATAATATATATGCTAAACATATGTCAATAAAATATCTAAAAATACATAAATTGTGTACTTTAAGTACAAAAATATATATAATCTAATCTAATGTAATTCGATATTTAACAACTAAAAGCTTGTTTAAATAAATACGTCTTCAAATATTTTTCAAAAAGATTCAACGATTTTGAATTTCTAATATAATATGGAACAATATTCCAAAGTTTTGGTGCGGCTGTTTGAAAAGATCGGTCACCGAGTGTGGAGTACATCTTCCCTTTTTGGTAATTGCAGTAACATATCATCATTACAAGATCGTAATATATACCTTCCGGAGGTCTTTAACTTAATTACTTCTAGTATATAATTAGGCGCAAGCCCATGAAAAGCCTTATACGTGATGAGAAGGATCTAAAATAAAATACGTTGACGAATGGGCAGCCAGTGAAGTTTAAAAAGCAATGGAGTAATGTGACAACATTTACTACCCATGAATATCAACCTTGCCGCTGCATTTTGCACTCTTTGTATCTTATTTATTTGATAGTATCGCAGCCCAGAATATAAACTATTGCAGTAGTCGATACGACTATAAATTAATGGATGAATTAAAATTTCAATCGATTCTTGTGTCCAATATTTCCTTATTCCAATGAGTGTTCATTGTTAGTGATGGATCTAGCCACACCCCTAGGTTCTTATCTACTTTCCTTGGTGTAATCTGGTCTTTTCCTACACTGAGGTGCGTAGTCTTTACTTTGGCCAGTTGTTGTTTTGTGCCAAAAAGTATCAGCTCAGTTTTATCATAATTCAATTTAAGTTTGACATCTTTCATCCAATCGGTGGATATCATTAATGCATTTTTCCATGTTCGCCATGGCTTCAACATCGCCATTTTGTTCCTTTGGACTAAACGACAACTATAATTGAGTGTCGTCAGCGTAGCACATTACACGGTCGGTAGGTGTGGTTTAACGATCTCAAGTAGCTCCAGCGTAAATTGTAAATAATAGTGGGCCAAGACAACTCCCCTGTGGCAAATCAAATTCCAAACTAAATGATCGTGATTCGGCACAATTTACGAATATTTACCAATATTTAGACAGGGCAGTCCAGTTTAGCTAATAGCTAGCTAGTTTAAATGGGGCCCTGTGACACCCACCCATCTCACCCCAGGGGAGGACGTCCACCACACAGCAATCTCGTGCGTGGGAAATTAACGTCTCCTACCCCTGACAGTAACACGTTGAGATCTATTTTGTAGGTACGACTTAAACCATTGTAGAGCGGCATCTGAGATTCCGCATCTTGTGTTAAGACAATCAATTAACACTTTATGATCTATTGTGCCAAATGCGGCACTCAAGTCTAGTAGTATTAACAGGGTCACATGTTTGTTCATATTCACAAGAATATCGTTTTTCACTTTCAATAGAAGTGTTTCTGGGCTGTAATTCTTTCGGTAAGCAGATTCCTGGTCCGGATAGATGTTNCATTTCTTAACTTGCTTTATTTATAAATTCATTTCTCATTATGAATCACTTAGGTGGTACGATTTAGTGTTTTACAATATCCGATTCTGTGACCTTTCCATATAAGAGCTCCAAATTCCGTCGTTATTTTCCTATCTCTGTAGTATAGAGCTGAATGTATTTTGAGGTAGAAAATGTTAGCTTTGTCAACATTACCTTCTTTGATGATTATTTTGACGTATACCATTTTGGTTGTCATAACAGAAAGCTTCCTACGCAATAGAACATGTAAACATCCGTTTGGTTTCTATCAATAAATAAAAAGTATCAGTTAAGTGTGATTGGGCAGATAGTTTTGAGTAAGGACCCTTTGTCTACGTGGGCAAATCTCTGAAAAGCAGACCATTACAGAAGAGGTGAACCGACTCATATCTTCTTACGGCTCACAGCATTATTAGGCTGGAAAATTCGATGACTTGATTCATTTCAAAAAGAAATAAATTTCATGGGCAAAATCTCTTCTATCAGTAGCTTTTTAAGTCTACTAGATTACTTTGTTTTAAGCATCATAAGATTACTGAAGTGTTAGGGCACCCAGTTTACAAGTTTTCACTCTTAGCTTTTTACATAGGTCGTGGGCCCTTGCCTATGAAATAAAAGGTATGGTAATACCACACTTGGAATGAAAACGGCACGCTTGCACGCCCACATACTATTGCAGAGGACTGTTAATGATCTTTCTCTTTACACTTCTTCATCTGTCATATTTTTCTTAATCGGTAAAAAGTGTGACCAGTCCAACATAGTCACTTTTGCTCAAAACTACATTGGGATCATAGAATATCTGAATGAGCCCAGATTTCAAAAGACAAGCTACAATTTGGAATTGATAAACACCACAGGACCTTTGAGTTGCTGTCTCCGTGGCATATTGTTGGCGGCTGAAAAAGCTATTGACTTATAGGAATACATAAATTATCTGGGATGTTCTACTCCCACGAAAAGTAGGGAGTAGAACGTCCCAGGTTTCGCAGGTTGGAGCATCAAAACAATATTTCAAAGAAGTTTCAATAATAAGTGCTCAAAGCTCGAAGGACAGTCAAGGTAAGCGCCTGGCTCACGCGCCACAATCGTATTTTAACTACATCTCTTTCCACATAGTATATCATCCTGAATTCACCTTTAGTAGAGCTGACAAAATCTTACCTCTCGATCAACTCTACGCCTTCTTCGCTTTGATAATTCTTCAATTCTAACTCGGTTCGTATTTTGTTTCTCAGTCTGTAGTAAAAGACCTTGTAGCAATCTTGAAACCTAACATGGAATCAATAGCATGACTGAAAATGGAGGCAGGCCAAAATTTACGAGGTGACCAATTCATCTTTTAATCTAATTGTGCGTTGTTTACCAAATATTTCACAACTCAGTAAAAATTGTGGTCAGTGTTCTTCAAAATGTTATGAAGTATTAAGTTAGTTTACAATTAGTTAGTTAGTTCGTTAGTCAGTTTAGTGTGATTTGGTCATTCGTTTATATTTAGATTGGAGTTACTGTATGAGTTCAAATTCCGAAGTTTATTTAGGTTTGAGTTGTAACGACGAGTTTCCGAATCGTGACAGTCTCAGTTGTCTGTCGTCCATGAGTGAACGTGCTTATCTCGTCAACTGACCTTGCTTTAGACCCACATGAAAGTTCTTGTCTTGGCTAACGCAGTCAGATGTTCATTTACCTGACTGGAAGTTAATTTCGAAAGTCTCGTGAAATTGCAGCCAGCCGGCATGCTTACCAGTTTAGTCAACAGTGAATTTATATGGATGTTCTTTAGAGCTTACTTAGAAAAATAGACAGTAGACAGAGAGTAGAGAACAGAGTAGAGAATTGCAAAGAATGAAGACATTGTGCAGAGGTATAGAGACAGAATTCCATAGTTGAAGTGAGTGTTTATCAGCATAAATCAGTGAAAAGCCTCCATTAAGAATCAAACTGTGAGAGCCTAAGAAATTGCATAGAATGAAGTCAACTTAAACGTACTACGCTGGACAATAATGTTCTAAATCGAGGTTTTACAACAAAAGATTACAACAAAGAAAGCAGCGAGAATAATTTTTTCATTGTCTTAAACTTAATTAAAATCTCACACATGCGAACTATTTCCATGAAGATCACGCAGTGAGGACTTGCGTTACAGTGTATCCGAGTTTGGTAACTAAAAAATGAAAAATGGAAAACTAGTTAGGTAACTAAAAATTTAAATATAAAAGATCAAGTGATTTCTGAGAGGACGGTTCTACATTCAAAGAGTTGCTTTGCAAAGATGGTCGTTACATGTTTGAGGATTTCGTTTCTCAGGAATTCGACAAGAAAGAACGGTCAAGACTTTACGACTTATTCGATCACTGAAACGAGATACTGTTTTCCGACACTCCTTTCCTCAAAATTCCTCTTGCCAGTGGATGGGTCTTCTACCTGTCTTCAACCTGAAGATGGCCGCGACCTGTAGCTCGCGCGTCGTACCAGCCACTAAACGCTGGGTCGCCTACCCAGAGCTTGCCATTTTCTCACACCCTCTTTCATAGCAATTTGAATTAATTATGTCGGGTTTGAAACGTGGTCTTTCGGTAGTTACATCGCAACTTGAATCTTGGATTCTCGAAACCGCTTGTGTATCACATAATCATAATGCTGTTTGAATGGATTACTGGACCTTCCTGCTCGGCCAAGACGATCGTAGATAAAAAAGCTGTGTGGTGGAATTACTGTAGACAATAGAGGACCGCTAAAGTGCATGTGCTGGAGGAGGAATATTGTTGAGAAAAAAGTGCTTGACTTCGGCATGGTTGGCGTTCTTTTCTGAAAATCAAACTTTACAACCCTATGATGTATTTTTATTTGGAAAAAATTTCTATGTGTGGAATTTAATGTAAAAAGTTCTTGTTCTATTATAAATATGTAATAAAATTTCAATTCAGAAAAGTTTTGTCCAGTGTACTAAGTAAACTTGTGTTCTGGAGAACCGAGTAATTAAAGGAAGAAGAAAAGGACAGTTTGACTGAGTTTTGGCGCCTTTCACCGAGCGTAGTGTACTCGATAGCTAATCCCCCCTGACATTTGATAGCATAACAAAAACATGTACTTCATAATATATCTTTCCATAAATGAGTATTTTGAGGGCCGATTGAAACTTCATAATATGTTGAGTAAAAACGAATCAAAGAACTCTGCATATAGCTATAGGATGACGACTAGAAGCGATAGAAGCGTAAATATTATAGCCTACCAAAACAATGAGTACACACAACAGACAGGATAATTCTTGCAAACGACCGAATTGGCGCGTTACCTCTTTCACTTCTAAGAGTGACTAACATCGTATTTCTCCTCACTAAATCACCTCTGAATATTAATTACACATGATAGTTACGAAAATAAAGGAAATTGTCGTCAACTCAAATAGCTCTTGTCTCAGGCATATAGCAAAAGTTGTTCGGGTGATGTTTACCTTTAAGCAAATGTAAAATACGTATTAACTAATTCTTACAGCTACTGAAAAAAACCTGCGATCGGCTGACAGAAAAAAGTTTCCGAGTGACCTTATAAGTTACGGATACTATAATATCGACAAGTTGCGGAGTGATATTTGTTTATGACAGAAACTGACTGACTGATGTTTACAGTTCACTGAGCAAGTGAGAACAATTGAATGAGTTATATCTATAAAAAGAATTGTAAAAGACCCCAAAAGGGTTATAAAAGAATGTGGGATCTCTTGGTCAAAGCGCTCTTTGAAATCCTATTTGTCTATTTTTAAGACTGAAGTTAACAACGGTACCCTTTAAAATCTCATCGGTCCATTTTGCAATTTGTGACAACCATCGAAAACACATGAGTGAAGCCGGATTTCTACTTCGTCTACCTTATAGATATCCCATATAATTACCAGCGGAACTGAAGAATTAAAGGGGAGACTTTTTGGTCTTTTGTCACCACCAAGATGAGAGTGGCATCAAACTGTATCCTACAAAGTTGCTTTATTCTGGACTTCTGCCCTGAATTAAAGCATGCAAAAATGTTCTATAATTTCGGGATTTGACACTTAGAACCTACCCTAACAACTTATTTCGTTTTTTTTTTCAGGAATGTTGGGATGGCTCCAATCACTTTTTCTAAGTCTCGTACCTAGATTCCAAAGATTCTACGGAAAACGTTTGAAATTCAAGTCAGAATGTTTATTTATTAATTTATTTAATCACTTTCACCAAGATTTGTCCGATTGAAACCAGTAACTACGGGATAGTCCTTTTAGTTGTAGTAGCACATCATGTCAGTTAAAAATTAAAATACCTCCTTGAGATGGTCTTAATAAGATTAAACGAAAAAATGTTTGGCTGGTAGGCGTAATAATTGATAAATTTTAACCGTTTGTCGTAAAAAAGATTTCAGCATAAAATTTTTTTTCTTCTTAATCGCTACGGAAAGAAAAACAAATTCAACTGATAGCCTTAAGAGGCATTACTGACCCCATTGAGACCCCACTTCCCCACCCCCATGAGCTATTTACGATCATCAGTTCAAGTCGCATGACAAGTACTAGGGGGAGAGGAGAGGGTTCATAAAAGTATTACTCCATGTAAGGTCAATTTTTATAGTTCTGCTTTGTTTCGTATTGATATTGATATTCAAGTTCTGCCTTGTATCTGGAGCCCATGGCTCCTGCCTGTAGACAAATATTTTTGTAAGATCCCTTTTTCTCTATGGCGAACCCTCTGAAATAGATTATAACGACGCCGATGATGGCTGTGTCAACATTAGGTCAACGAATGTTTTCAATATCATGGTAAACTAAATGAATTTATAGATGAATTGTAATAAAAAAGCATGACATATTTCAGGCTGTTTTCTTTGTGTGCTCAATGGAATGAACAAACCAGGCCCATCACTGAAGTTTCATGTCACATTCCTGATTGGAAAATTTTTGTTTCACGGGTAGAAATTTCTGTGGTTTTCTGATTAATATTGAGCAAGGAGGATACTTAAAAAAAACATGTTCAACTTGTTTTCTTCGTGGGTTATGTTATAATAATATAATAATAATAATAATAATAATAATAAAAATAATAATTTCAGTCTTTATACAGGGTAAGTATTACACAAGGTATGTAAACATGATAGGATAGAATCTCAACACTAACTTAACTGAATACATGATATTTCACTCTATGCTTAAAAATGAGAAAGGAGTCGATTTCTTAAAAGACGTGTGTAAGAGATTCCATTCTTTAGCTCACATATATAAAAGTCTCTGTTTTCCATAGTTCGTTTTTACACGAGGGAGGCGGAAATGGTTCTTTCTTCTTGTATTCTATCTATGGAAGTCAGAATTTCTTCAAATATTAAAACAACAATCCTAAAGGCCGTAAATGTACTTTAAGGTGGCAATGTATCTATGTACAAGCAGCAGTGTTGGCCCAATTTAGAGATTTTAGAGCGTCGGTGGTTGAGGCGTAGTTCTGCAAATCGAGGATATTAACCTTTGCAGCTTTATTTTGTAGTATTTGCAAATCTTCCATGATAATAGTGTTATCCTTGGCTCCCCAGATGATATCGGTACAGTCAAAAAGTGGACTTGTTAAGGAATTGTACAATGTGATTCGCGTTTCTGATGGTAATAGATGTTTGACTCGTTTCAGTAAACCGATTCTTTGATTTATTTTGGTAATTAATGATTCGATGTGCTCGTGCCATGTCATCATTGTGGATGACTACACCGAGATAATAGATTGAATCTGTATTTTAAAGTTCTTTGGCGTCTTTTTCCAGCTTTATACCTCGGCAGGTTTGCAATTTGTAATTGTTACCAAACAATAAGAACTTCGAAATAATTTCAATATATCAACAAAAGTTGAAATGGTAAATTGGCCACCGTTACGATTTTAAAAGCTGACGTTTCGAGCGTTAGCCCTTCGTCGGAGGGAATAGAGGAATCGTGGGTTGTGTGTGCTTTTAAGGGCAGAAAATGGAGCTACGTGGTTTTGAGCTACTTCGATTTTGAGTGCTCAATATCAGATAGTTACTGTTAAACCATTGAGCTAAATTGGCAAGGTGGG